AGGCAGCATTGAGTGGCTAGGGGAGGTCATCAAACTATGGTTACGTATGACGTCGAAGGCAAAGAGTGGCGACGATTCGCAATAAATTGAAGCAATGCCAAAAGTTATTAGGCAAAAGAGTTTAACGATCATTGACTAAATATTATTCAGTTCAACTTGCATTTTACGTTTAATTTGTTAAATAAGACTACAAATAAATCAACATGAAGAAAACTGGGATAATACTTAAATCTATTGATTTGAAAATCGTAATGTCTGCAAACCTAACTCGTTTCTTATCAACCAACACGTGAAAGGAAAAGAAAAGAGAAGTTCATTAGGAATAGCAGTAAATGCCTCTCATTTTATTTAATAATTCTATAAATAAGCCAATATGTGTGATCGAAAATGTGATACTACTTTAAAGCAATCCATTTGGAAACCATAATTACTGCAATTTGAACTCTTTTCTTATCACCCAACACGTGGAAGGGGACATGAAAAAGAGTCAAATATGGGTTATGCCGATAAGGCAAACAGTTCTGGGGTATACAATAACGCACATGCTGTTTCGCGAATGCTCATGAAGTACTCCAAAATGAATGAATAGAAACATTTCTCTTTATTTTGTTAGAAATGCCTAAAATCTCTTTTAAAATATTCCTTGTATTAATCAATAATATCGATCCATGTTTTGAGTAATGGTATAAAATAAAATTAATAGCACTTTGATAATAATGAATTCATTATTAGTTTGGTAAAACAGTTGAAGCTGAAAATTGAACAAATTGTTCTCCCTCGCACAAAACGAAGCCTTTGCTAACCTACTAAAAGACTCTCATTGTTTATTAATCTCAGGTTCGATGTGTGGGCAGACATATAAAAAACATCCAAGCTCTGAAAACTAAATGGAATTAAGTTTCCAAGGTGATGGGAAAACTGACGCTTCTCTGTCCGGTTTTCAAACACCGACTTGGCATCCGATTAAATGATTTCTTCAGAAGCTGTAGAGATGAGAAATTGGAGAAAAGCGAGGAGCAATTTCTTTCTCATTGCCCATGCGGACTCTTTTCTAAATGATCTTATTTGATATCGACCAAATATCGAGATTGTGAAAATAGAAAATTTCATTACATATACCGGCTGATAGCAGACCTATAAAAACCAATGGGATACCATACACGCATCACAAAGAACTTATAAAGGCCAAGTTAGGGCCTCAGGCATCGCAACGTTGCTTTAGTTCGATCGCAGTCTTCTCTTATTTATAATAATTGTAATTCAGCTCCACATACGACACAACTCTTACATATTAGACATATTTTCCCAGGTTTTCTAAATAATTTATGCAATTTTAAACCATATTGCGGACTATGATCAAAATTTGTTGCACTCAAACCAAGTAGAATATAAAATTTAGTTGATTTAAATTTTCACTCAAAGTTAAGAATAAATGGAATTGAAATCTATCAAAGCCGATCTGCACAGTAATGAAAAATTGTAGCCAGTCCAATAACTTGAAATTAAATTGTTGAAGACAGTGCAGTGGTAATATTTGTGCTTCGGGGTATATGCAAAACGAAAATTAAATAACAATATCTTGCGAACGTGGCAGATTGTTAAATTAACAAATAATAAGTGTACAGAGAGATAAAAGAAATAACTCACTCAAGTAGAGACTAAAAAATATCGCCTGCCTAGGAGGAACTGCTGCCAAGGTCATGATTTGATGTTGTTGTTGTTATTTCGGTACGTTTTTATTTCAAATTCAAATACATGTTAAGTAAATTATACCATGTACAAATGTTTGTGTATGCACACACACACACACACACATATACATATATAAATAAATAAAATGCGCTAGCAAAGCAATAGAGCTGATATGCATTTGTGTGAGAGAGTGCTAAAGAAGACAACGAAAAATATATATAAAATATCCAATTAGATATTATCGTCAATGTGACGTCAGCCAATGAATTGGAAGTGGAGTTTTCTCTTCTCTAGGCGGCAATGCAGTTGAAAGTAAAGCTGAAGATGTTTTGCCAAAACCGTTACGCTGCTGTGAGTGTGCGTGTGTGTAGAGAAAAGCGGTTATCATTCAAAAGGCAGCCAAACGCCATTTTGCAAGATGCGCTCAGCTGTTTTTTTAATACCCTGTACCCAAAGGGTAAAACAAGTACATAGTATATTGGGTTTGTGCAAATGTACATACATATGTATGTATGTAACCGAGAGAAAGAGATGCTGTGCTATGTATATTCTTGATCAGCATGACGAGACGAATCGTATTGGTGCACGATATCAAAAGCCTGTCATAGGACCGATTGCTGCAGCTAAGTTTATGTCCGTTGAAGAAGAGTGACAGAGAGGCAGAGGGGCAGGGCATGCAAGAGTCGGGCTCGAGCGGCTTTAGCGTTTCACTCGTTTTTTTTTTTGGCTGAAGCCAAAAACTGCGCTGCAACTGCAGGTGAGCAGAGGTGGTGGCCAAGCAAAAGCCGAGGCAGTGTTGCTACATACAAACATATGCATATGTATACATATGTAGGTACATACAAGTATATATGTACATAAGGGAAGGATACGCAAGAAGTGCAAAAAATGCGTTTGCTATGCAAATTGAGGTTAGACTAGACTTCGAGAAATAACGCTCGTCTCAGCTGTGACAACAAAATATGCACAAAATTATATAAAACGCAAGCGAACACTACCGGACCAATTATCAGCAATTGAAATATTTGTATGTTTGCTAATCAGCAGAACTTAAGAGCTCCATGCTGTCCTTGCAGCTGTCTGGGGAAAAACAGCTGGTTGATTGCCATGCCGGCGAACAGAGAACAGCGGTCAGCGCACGCCCACTCTGCAAAGATAGTCAGTCAGGCGGTATTCATATTGCCAGCGTCAACCGGGAGCCTCAAACTCTGAAATACACACATACATATGTACATATGTCCAACGCAGCACCCCGCCGCCATACACACACACAGACGCACACCCATGCACAAACACATGTCTCACTTTTTGTCGCCGTATCGGCAGCTAACACACTACTAACTACACCACATTTTTCAGGTTTTTTTTGTACCTTTGGCTATGGATTTTTCCGGAACGTTTTTCATACACTTTTACACATACTAGCGTTTTGGAATGTAGCACAAAATATAGTTTAGAGTATTACCTTTCGATGGCGCCTAATTTTGGGGCGCTGGCGTTACGACTTGGTTGGCAAAAACACACTTTAAAAAACTGACTGCCACACAATGTGCTCAATGCTTCCTCTTCGACATGCTTCCACCATGACAATTGGTGGCTGCAGAAAGAATGAACGAGAGCGCGAGCAAGCGAATTGAAAAGCAACAGCAACAACAACAAGAAAAGGCGAAGTGCGGCGCGGCGATGATGACGTTTTTTTCAACGTGTATGCTGGTTGGTGGTGTGCGAGTGTGAGTATTTGGTAGTGATGGTGGTGTTGTTGTTACTATCTTTATGAAATACATATACACATGTGTATATAATAAAAATATATACTTGGATATATTTTATACTTTTTATAGAAAATTGCACTTCTTAGACACAGCACAGAACCGATATAAAAAAGGCGCGCTTACTTGTGGCCCACTTTAACGGCTGAAACAACACCTGCGTATGCAACAATTAGCATAAATATGTAATAAAACATTAGTTAGTTAAAATAGTTAAAATATTTCACACACACAGTACGCGTCGTTCAAACACATGAAATAAAAGACTCAAGAATGTCGTTTCATTTAATACCTATTTTGTGTTGTCGTTGTTGTACATTTTATTGCCGCTTTGCCTTTCATACTTTGTTTGTTCTTTTACACACACTTTCTTGTACACACTTTGTGCGCGTATTCGTATTCGTCGCAGTGTTGCTTTACAGAACCAATCAAGCGGCCATGTTTATTTATTGTGAATATTTTATTTATTTTAAATGTATTTTTTACTATTTATTAAAGCTACCAGTACACTTGCACTTGAAGGAACATTCACACACATGCATACACAAATATGCCGCTGCGGCAGCGCGCGTTTTTTTGTTGTTTACATTTTTTCGCCCGGCCAGCTGTGCATACAGCTGTTTATAAATTTGTTCGCCGCGCCATGCCAACTCGCTGCAAATGATCAGTTTGTTATTGTTGTAGGTGGAGGTAACTCGCTAGAATGCCAATTTTGTCGAGTTTGCTGCCCCGCACAACGGTCATTCACAATTTTTATTTATAATTACGAACTGCCAGCCTGCTTGAACTCAAAACAAGTTCATTTTGCGAATACTTCGTTTTTCGATAGGCATTATCTTTTAGTTATTTGATTTGTTTCTCGTTCTTTAACATGAAAACTTTATTTTATATTTAAGATAACCCTTTTATGATTTAGCAAGTAAAAGATGTAAGAAGGCTTGCAAACGCAATATAATTACAAGAAAGATTTATTATTAAGACACGTTTGCATAAGAACTGTACTATGCACAATGCTGGGTATGAGCCCTTCTTTACGAAAATTAAAATATGTATTTAATAATTTAAGAATTCTTTTCGATGGTCTAAAAAATTTACTTCAGCAACTAAATCTAAATCTGGAACTAGTTCAAGCTTGCCCAACTTAACCCTTTTTTTAAAATTAAAATAACGTTTAATTTTAATACATTCGAGAAACTTGGAGGTTGGGACAATAACCTTGAGTGCATGAATTCGACAGGACGGGTGCATTGAACTGCTCTCGCCATAAACGGGAATCAAAACACGTTGCACGAGTACAAAAGGATCACGAAGGATAACAGCGGTAGCCCAACCGCATACATATGTATGTACATGCATTTAAATAAACTGCATTGAATGGTTTTTTTTTGGAAAGTCCTTCCAACCCTAATGTGCAACAGATTGCAAATTTTTGGAAATTCGCTTATGATTAATGAGAACAGCAAAAAAAAAAAACAAATGCACACCGAAGCTTTTTTTGGGGTGAGAACCAAAGTAAATAAAGGGAGCAGCAGCAACAACAACAATGTCAAAATTCATTTAATACCCTTTTTACGCCTCAAATATCAATTATAACAAACACTTCAAAGTTACTTCGCTCCACGTCCTGCACCACTTCCATGGCCGAATATGTGATTGCCTTTACTTCCGTCCCCTGTGGATGCTTTCCCAATTCAAAGGGTTCGCCATAGCATCGGCAGACTATTTCAAGATTGTCCATATCAAATTTTGTGATTTCCAGTTTCTTGCCCACCAAATACGGTTCGGCGGAGAACAAAAAGAGCAGTTCGTCCAGAAAATGAAACAATAGTCCTTTAATATCGTCGCCTTTCGCTTCGATCTCGTAGCACGTCTCGACAGTCACATAATCCAGTTCGGTCATATAACCAAACATAGCCATCCCGCATTGTTCGAACGCCTCCTGCAGCGTGGAGCCCCAGGCATGAAGTCTAATCAGAAAACATAGTAACGGCTGTCTAAATAAGTATTTACATATCCTTAAATCTTGTACTTACTGCACATCGGCTGTGTGGTCCAAATCTATAAAATAGCAACAGTTGTCATTAAGGCGTTCGTATAAACAATTAATTAACTTATGCTTACATTCATATTTTATTTCGGGCAGCAGAAAGTTTTCCTTGCTAAATTCCACCTCCATGCTAGCTATTTCAACAAATTACTTAAATTTCATTGGAAATGTGCAATAAATAAACGCGGCTACACAGAGCTGCCACACAGTGTCAAGATGACACATGCCGGTAGTGCTGCCACTTTTCTTTTAATAAATACAGAGTGGTACTAATTTGTAAGCCACTACTGTAAATTTAGAAATAAATTTAAATTTTTAAAATACTTTAATTTCATTTTGAAATTAAAAATAAAATTGCTAGACTATAAAAATGAAAGCAACAAATAAATTGAATTAATAAACTTATTAAAGTTATTTTAAATGTTATATACACAAATATTTATTATATTCTAAAATTGTATATTATTTTTTTAAACTAAACTTAGTTACTTTATTTTGTATATATTTTTTAATGAAAAAGTATTTTAATTTAAATTTTTTGGTGGTAAATTCTGTATATTTTTAAAACTTTTCATACTTTCATTTTCCCAATTAATATATTTTTTTCTTTTCCATCGAATCAAATAAATTTTTTTCTTTTTCAAAGAAACAATTGTTGCTCAGTCATTTCAAAACAATTTATATTTATTCCAGACTTACAACATTCTATAGGCTATATAAATTGAACTCGCACAAATTCGCAGAAACATCCTAAATATTAATCACCTTTCCCTAAATGGCATTAAGTCTCGGATTTATAAAAATAATTGAGAATTAATAAGGTCATTTGGACAGTTATTGAGATGTTGAGAACTTGGGAAGCGATTGCGAAGGGCTTTGTCAGTGGCGATTGCGGCTTTAAATGATGGGTGGTAAGTGGTGGTAGGCTGTCTATTTAATCCACAAATACATTTTGCCTTGGATGGTGTGCTTGACGGGATTGATTTTCTTTAGGATTTTGGTCATTGTCTCCACCAAGCGATCGCTGGAGACGCCAGTCTTTTTATTTTTGAACTTGGTCAGCAGCTCCGTGGCCGTCAATGGTTTGCGCTTCAGATAGCGACGCACTGCCTCCTCAGTGATGCCATAATCCCTGAAAAGAGTGGAAGTTATATGATAAGGAATATCTAAACTGTAATAGTGGTTTCTTTTCATACTCGATTTTGTTGTTGACTACACCGGCAAATGTTGAAGGCAGTGAGGTGCTGATCTCGTTTTTGGGCTTCTTGGCAGGTGTGCTAACTGGACTGTTGCTTGTATCCGAACCGGTGAGATCACTGGGCAGACTGTTTAGCTTACGTTTGTTGTTGTCATTGCTCAGAGTGGGTGTGGCGGAGCGGGATTTGTTGGTATTGCTGTTGCTGGCGGCGTTGCTGGTGCTTGCCTTGGATGTCGATGTGCTGCCATTGTCCTTATCTTTGTCCTTAACATTGGGTTTCTTTTTGATGGGGCCATTGCTGAGATCATCTTCGGAATCAGAGCTATCTGAGCTGAAATCAGTGGACGATTCACTGCCATTGCTTTTGGCTTTCTTGTCATCTTTTGATTGTTTCTTTTTCTTCTTGTCCTTGGAGCCTTCGTCTTTAGTCTTATCCTTTTTCTTCTTCTCATCATCATCCTTGTCCGACTCGTCGGACTTCTTTTCCTCATCATCTTCCTCATCTGAAGTCAGCAGCTTGCGCAAAGCATCTTCTTCGGCCACGCCTTTCATGTCTTTGTCCAGTTTAGACTCCGGATCGGGCTCGCTAATTAAATTAAATTGTGAGTAAATTATTATTTTTATAAGCTTTACAACATACTCTTCACTGGAGCTCGTATCGTAGTCCATTTCGCGACCTTCCTCATCACCATCATCCGATTCCTCGAAGGCTTCGTCGTCCACATCTCGTTTCTTCTTTTTCTTATCGGCACCCTTTTTGCCTTTGCCTTTTTTGCCGGCCTCATCATCGCTGTCTTCCGCCTCCTTTTTTTTCTTTTCCTCCTCGTCATCCGAGTCGGATTCATCATCGGAATCAATCCACTCATCCATATCGGTGATTTTCAGCTCTTTGGACTTTTTCTTTGCCACCTTCATTAGCTTCACTTCCTCAGGATCCTGTTCCTCCTCCTCGTCACCACGCAAGCGTTTCCGCAACATCAGAGAAAAGTAATTCATCACCTTCTTACGTCGCCCGAACTCCTGCTCTGCCTCCTCGGCCGACAAAGACTTGTAGCGCTGAATAGGCTGAAAATTGTACCACTCATTCAGTGGATACGCCTCAATGGCGCCATCCGGCGCATGGGTGAAGACATAGAAGGCCGCATTCTCGCCGACGCCACCCTCTCGAATACCCTTGAACTTCTTGCCAGTCTTGCCGCCGACTTTTAGAATCCATGGCTGTGCCTCGGGCCGATATTTTTTGGCAATAATGCCAAACTTCTTGCGACGCACCTCCTCGCGCAAATCACGATTGTATTCGGAACCAGCACCAAACTTCGGCTGATCCTCGTCCATGCCGCGAAACTCCTTCATATTATTCTCCCGCTCCAGTTTCACATTTCGCCACTGCGCGAAATCCACATTCAGCGTCGCATTGAAACGCATTACATGATGCTTCTTTCGCATCTTCGGCACTCGTATCTTAAATTCCTGCACATTGCCAGCACTCGAGCCTGGAGCACTACCAGCACCAGCCCCTGAAGTCGTGCTTCCAGCAACGCCGCTGGACTGTTAAATATTTGCAAACGTATGTACATATACATATGCATGTGTGTGTGGAGTGAGTAAGGCATCAACTTAAAATGCGTTTTACTTACCGCTGTTTTTGCTGCAGCGGACATTGCAAGTTCTCACTTTCAAGAGAAGATAGGATAAAACAAATTACGAGCTAGTATATATTTTAAAATTTAACAAATGGTAAAAGAAATCGCTCTGCTTGCGAAGAATTGCGGTGTTTGCGACTAGTTGGCAGGCAGAACAGCTGTAGCTTAGCTAGAGATGTGCAAGAGATGTATCATCGCTAAGACAGACAATTGTAACGGTTCAGCGAGTATCGACGTGAGTGCAATAATGTTATGTGGTTTTCAAATCAAGTAACTATTTAAATTTCATATATATTTAATGTTCCTCAGCATCCACTTGAACGCTAATAAACGACATTAATTGCCTGATATCAAAAATCCAACATGGCCCTTAGGCGACCAAGTACTGCCAAATTAATCAAATTTAATTGGAACTCTATCTAAACCCATCTATTCAAATAAAATACTGGCGCACACACAATGACTAGCGATTGTTTTAAAAAACCGCGCCTGTCCTCACATCTGCCAAAACTATGTGAATTTTAAATATACATAGTTCGAATTGCTCTTAAATGTATATCTATTGTAAAATCCTCACCAGTACCAATTCATTAATCAATAATCTCTACTTACAGCGAATCTAAAGCCAAATATATATATATATATATTTTTTTTTTAATGGTACCCGTCTTGATTAACAAATAATTGTGTAGTCTAACCAAGATTTTTAATTTGAAATCAAATAATAACCATCCAACTTGATTCTCAAATAATAATTATAGTATGTCTTTTTAGTTTAGGCGACAAGTTTGTGTTGCTTGTATGAATAAAAATTTGCATATATGTATGTATGTATATATAACAGTTTAATGTGTTTCTTAGAGCTAAATGCTTAAATTAGTAATGGGGGGAAAGCGAATACAAATTATATAATGGAAATGCTTAATTAAGCCGCTGGCCCTAATCACTGGCGTCGCTTTCGTTGGTCTGGTCTTCGCTGGCATCTTCCTCCTCCTCGTCATCATCTTCGCTCTCACTGGCCGCCTTCTTCTTTTTCGATTCAGCATTGGAAGGTTTGGTTTTCTTTTTCTCCGGCTCGCCTCCCTTCTTGGCCTTATCATCGGAGCTGCTTGAATCATCATCGGATATGTATTCCTTGCTCTTGAAATTACTGCCGGATGTGTTGGCCTTTTTGGCGGGTGATGGATCAGATTTGCGTTTTTTGCTCGCTTTGTTGCTGACCTTGTTGGATGATTCGTTTTCATCATCGGTGCCCGCACCGGGCTTGTAATTGCGCATCTCATCCTGATAGCGTTGCTTGTCCTTGGCAGCAGCCTCCTCCCATTTCGATTTGTCCTTCAGCTCCTTCCACATCTCGCCACCCCTTTTGGCAATCTCAGTCGGCTTAATGCCGGGATTATCTTGCTTTATTTTATCACGAGTATCGTTGAGCCACAGCATGAACGCAGTTGTGGCGCGCTTCGGTTTATTTGAATCCTTCTTCTTGGTGGTTTTTTTCTACAAAATATTTGAAATCATTTACATTTATTAGTGTATTTTTAAAGAAATGTTCTGAACTTACAGTGCGCTCAGTATCTCTTTTCCTTTCTTTTTTCTCCTTCTTCTCGCGTTTCTTTTCCCTCTCCTTCTTTTTAGCCGGCGCATCACTATCGCCGCCGCCTCCACTGGCATCGCTATCGTCGTCCGAATCATCCTGCACATTGCTGTCGTATTCTTCGGCCACATCGGATTCGTTCTCGTTGGGTTTGAAGTCCTCGTCTGTGGATTCTTCATCGGAGCCATCATCATCATCGTCGTCCTCCTCCTTTTCACGCGCCTCAGCCTTCAGACGTGCCAGATAAGCATCGGGTTCGTTCTCATTATCTGAATCGCCAAAATCAACGTCCTTGTAGCCACTCTTATCCTTGCCCATGTTGCTCACATGCAGTTTCTTTTGAGTAATATAATCGAACAGTTTAGCGTATTCTTCCTTCTCAATGGACGAGAAAATGTGCACAGTGCCGTTTTTAAGGGTCACCTCGAAGTCAAAAGAGCGCGTTGAGCCGCCACTGCGGGCAAAATTCACGGAGGTAATCTCCTCGAAACGTATGTGCAATGGCGGCTTGTGTATGTAGATGAAGCCTCGCTCCAAAGGATACAGATAACCGGCAGCAGCTTTGAACGAGCAGCCAACGGCAGCAGTGCCAGAGTGTCCAATAAAATTGCCCGGCCCGGTTATTTTGCGACCGATCAGCACCTTCATCACCTTGCCCATGACTTCGTATACTGGACCAGACAGCTCCTTCTCCAATTTGCCTTCATATTTGTCACGCAATTCCTCCTCAGTAAAGGGCAGCTCAATGGTGGTCTCCTCGTCGGGCGCAAAGAGCAGCACCAGATAGTGATAGCGCGTCTGGCCCTGCTTGATGGGCGGATCCAAGGACAACACGAAGAACATTTGTCGACTGTCCTTGTGCGGTAACATGAATAGACGCAACACGGAATCCATTGGAATTTTATAATCAAATGTCTTGCCGTGCAATTGAAAGAATGTGGAGAAGACTTTGATGTCGTAGCGACCACGCGGTGTCAATATCTGAATCTCTCGGAAGATGGCAATAGATTCGCCCGAAGCCGATATAACCGATGCCTTATTCATCACATTCTGATGGAATTTCTCTACAGGATCATCGTCAGCTGACTCCACAGCTGGTATATGAAAGCGCATTTCAAGTAAGCCCACGGGTGCGTCATCGTTCTGATGAAATTCCAATGTCACTTCATTCTTGCCAGTGACGCACTGCGATACATGCGAGAGGGGCACTTCAAAGATCGTTTTCGTATCCTTATCGAAGCTCAGCACTGAGCCCATGAAACGTGCTGTGCCCCAGTTCCAGCCTTTGACACACATCTCCTTCTCCACCATATCCTGCGCATATGCGTCCTTAATAAACTTGCTCAGCTTCTCGTGCTCACTGTCCCGAAATCCTGTAAAACGATGCAAAGCGCCGCCTTTTGTGAAGACTCGCAGACCCCATGTACCTACAAACTTCTGCGAATTGATCAAATCAATATCCTCGGCAGCAATCTGCTCCACTTTGCCGGTCTTATTATTCTTAAAGACGATGTGCTGCTCAGTAAGCTTCAGACGGCCGGCAGACTAACGATTATGTTGAAGAAAAACAAACTTTTGTTGTTGGAAAAATTCTTAACAAGCTGGAAGAAAATAGCATCTTACCAAAACGCCGCGCACTTCTGCGCTTATGTCGTTGTACTCTAGAGCATCGGTCATATCGTTGCTACGCTGCACGCTAAATAAATTGTATGTTTACAATAAATTACACCAATTATTTGCAACTTGCGAATTCCCGCGTGTTTTCGCACCCGGTATGGAGTTGAGGACGCCAAAATGCAGTGCTGCCAACTACGCTCAAATGATAAAAAGCGAGTAATTTTCATAAAATACTGAACACTCAGAGACATAAGTGCATCGTATTTGCATCGTATAGCTCGTGTTATATTGGTTTGTCACTATCAAATAACACTGAATAACAGTTGGGAAAAGTATCGTATTATTACAATGGAAATCATGTTTTGCGAAATCTAATACTAAATATCGATAACGCGCGCGTCATCTGGGCCCTGCCAATCCACCTGAAATACCAAGCGAATTTGTTAATATGTTAATAGACATTTTATTCGCGGTGAATGGTAACAACGCCAGGTAGAAGAGGAAGTACGGTAAACGAAACCTACTGTGGGTTTAAATTTTAAAGGTTTTGTTTGTAAAATGTCGCGAAACGCGGTGCTCACGGATGAGCAAAGCAAATTAAATGCGCGACTGGAGGCGCATATGGTCTACATATGCCCGGAATGTGGCAAAGCCTTTCGCACCCAGGCCGAATGGCGTCAACATTTGAACACCAGACACGATTATCTCAAAAAGACGTACTCCGATTTTAATTTCATACAAATCGACGATAGATTCCATGAGTGCCAGCTGTGCTTTAAGTGGGTGGAGAATGCACACAAAACAATCGCCTTACTCCAATATCATTACTTTATGCATCTGGACCATCGGGAAACTTATCGCTGCGTGCACTGCCGGATGGCGTACACAAGACGCCGGGCTCTGAATGTGCATTTGCTGGAGACGCACATGCGGGAGATCGAACAATATGAAAATAAATTGCGCCATTTAAAAAAGCAGCAGGAGCAGAAGCAGGGAGCACCTAAGCAGCAGAGAACACCTAAGCAGCAGGGAACACCGAAGCAACAGGGAGCACCTAAGCAGCAGGGAGTGCCACTAAAACAAGGAGCGGGTGCAGGTGCACTAAACAGGCAAATAGCACCTAAGAGGCCTAGAGGAAGACCTCCGAAGGTGACACGCCCCACAGCTCCTATTGAGAGAGAGTCTCGCCAGCGCAAGGATTTGCTGCAGAAGGCATTAATGGACATTGATTTGCAGCCGGAGGAGCCTTCAAGCACCACCAAATCAAAGCCCAATGCCAGCGAATTGGCTTTGGATCGTTGTTTAAATGCCTACGAGGATATTGTGCGCAACGAGTGTAAACGACAACCCGACAATGACTTCATGGACTCACAGCTTGATGCATTCTGTAAGGAGTTCTTTGAAGAGACGATCGAAGAATGCGAACCTGCTGAGCCATCGACCCCAAGCAAACAAAGCGATGAGAATAAGGAAATGGTTATTATTGAAATTGATGCGCTTGGTGAGGAGGAAGTGGATCAATTGCAAAAGGAAATGCAAACAGATAGAAACGAAGCATATGAGACACCCTCGCCAGAAGCGAAGCGAAGACGTGTCTCCACGCCCACCGAACGCGATACCGTCTCCGATGTCACCGGTTATATGAAGCTAATCTCGTTTCTGTGTCCAAAGTGCGGCAAAGAGATTATATCTATGGACGATTGGCGTACACATGTTTTTGAAAAGCACGATTTCGAGCATTTCATCGAGAACAGTTTCGAAATACTGGAGTCGGGACGTGGGAGCAGGTGTCGGACATGTCGGGAAGTACAGCCCACCACAAAACGGTCGGCACTCGAAAAACATTGCTTCAATCATTTGCCCTACCGATCCTATTTAAAATGCACATTGTGCGAGCGCACAAAGACCAGCATGTCCAAAATGATAAATCACATACGACACAATCATCAGGAGGAGTTGCAGCGCAAAAATAAAACGCAGTTGCTCATCAAGCCCGAACCCAAATGGTCAAGTCCCCAAAGATCAGCGGCAGCCTCTTACGAAAGTAATCAGTCTTTTGAAAATACAAATGAAAAGCTTGCCTGCCCCAAATGCCACAAATCCTTTAAGGTTACTTGGCGACTGTACCGTCACATGGATATGTGCCAAGTACCGGGTATTTATGATAAACATGCTGAGATTTTGTTGCAACATTTAGCGGAGGGTCGCAAACGCATAAATACTCTATGGGCGGAATTGAAAAGTCAGAGTCGTTAGGAATTATTACAATGATGTGGAAATATGTTAGGCACAAAATAATAAAAGCAAACAAAAAGCAATTGAGTTTATTTTTTTGAAATTAAATATGGTAGATGATAATTCGCTTTATTGACGTGTTCAGAATTAAGGCAAATTGTGTAACAATTATGTAGAATGAGACTAATTTAATTTGGCTAAATTTAAATTAATTTAAGCATACAATTACAAAAACATACACAAAAGTGGTCGTTTGTTTTTAATTATGTAAAATATGTCAATTGAAAGTTTGTGTTAAATAAACATAAGAACTAAGCCTTGAATCATGAAAAACAATTGGGTACAATTTGTTTTAGCTTACAAAAATAAAACACAAATAAATTATATTTTTTTAAAATTAAAATATGCCAATAGAACTTGTTCTACTGAGTCGCTTGTGCTGCAATAGTTTCCCTGAACCAGCTCATTACTGAACTTAATGCTTTCATAAAGAAAACGTATGTCGTCGTCATGCCAAGTTTGTTATTTTTTTGAAACAAAGCTATTAACGTGATTTATTGTTATAAAAATCATTTCAAATAACCTTAGCTGAATGCATAATGTATTATACTGTAAAAACAGCTTTTTTTATCCACCTCTGCCACCCCTAACTCTACAAACTGTTATTTTTATCGACATAGTGGTTTGTTATTGAGGGTAACGTAATAGAATAGGCAGTTGATTATCGCCCATCTCTACATTTATGTTGTACCATCGCTAGCGGTAGAACTAAGTTGTAGAAAATTGATGAAAACCCAATAAATGCAAAGTGTTTTAAGTGCAGAATTAAATATTGTTAAATGGAAACAAGCTTAGACGAGAGCATGGACAGTGAACGTGCTAGTCCGCAAGCGAATTTTAATGATGTATCCAGTCGTTCGCCTCATGGCATAAATGGCAATGGTGTCACCGTCGAAGGGGTGGTGGGGGCTGCTAGTTCTCAGGCAGAAAAAGTGAACTCCAATGAGCCGCCATGGTAAGAGAAGCACTCGAAGTACCAAAAAAAAATGTTTTACATTAAATTATCATTGCAGGGGCAGTAAAACTTTTACGGCGTTTAGCGTTCGTTCTGTCGGCGAACACCCGCACCCACAACAGCAGCAGCCGCAACAGCAGCATGGGCCGCCGCCTCTGATGGCACAAGGGCCGCCGCCAAATGCTAATGGCATGTTGGCAGTCACGCAACCGCCGCAGGAGACTTGGGTGGAGACAAAAGCCGATGATGGCCGTTCGTATTATTACCACTCTGTGACAAGAGAGACAACGTGGACACGTCCTGAGGGGCTGCATATTAAGATATTGACACAAGCTGAAATTGAAGAACTCTCAAAGCGAGGCCCCGCAGCAGCAGCAACAGCTGTGCCAATGAATAAACCGGATGGGGAGAATGAAAAACTGCCGAGCGGCGCCAGCGATGTCCCACCAGTTGGTCCTCATCTTACATCGCAGCCGCCGCCACACCTAATGAATCAACCGCCACCCAATGCGGCACAAGCACCACTGCTCTCGCAGCCACCACCTAATGTGCGTCAACAGCCGCCACCCATGTTCCAACCGGGCATGCAACCACCGGGGTTTGGACAACCGCCGTTTTGCATGCCGCCGCCTGCATATGGTTTTCCAGGTGCAGGACCTGCTGGTCCCTGGGGTGTAGGAGTTCCGCCTTGGCAGCAACAGCCCATGCATGCTCCGCCTCCCTCAGCTGGTCATCAGGATAAGCCTGCGAAGAATCTAATCATAAAACCTGGTGTCATCGATCCAGCGGTTATTGCGCGAGCTGCTGAATGGTCAGAACATCGGGCTCCTGACGGCAGACCTTATTACTTTCATGCGGGACGTGGCGAAAGTGTGTGGGAGAAGCCACAAGCATTGCGGGATATGGAGGCGGCACGCATGGCCGCACATTCCGGTGCTTCGCCACAGACATTAGCAGCTCCACCGGGGCAGGCGCCACCAGTTGGTGCACCTACCGGCATGCCGCCACATCTGCTGCCCAATCCAATGATGCATATGCCGCCCGGCACTGCACCTGGATTCGATCCTCAAATGGCTTTTGCTGCTGCCGCCGCCGCCATGAAGGCTAATACCGAAAACTCCAAGGCAGCCCAGGCAGCTGCTCTGGAGAAGGAGGCGAAGAAGGCCGCCGAGGAAAAACGCAAGAAGGCCGAGGAAGAGCAAAAGAAACAGGCCGCCGCTGCCAAGCAAACAGACAAGTCGCGTCCTGTGACTAGCATCGCAATTGCCGGGACACCCTGGTGTGTGGTCTGGACTGGAGATGCGAGAGTTTTCTTCTACAACCCATCCACGCGCACATCTGTTTGGGACAGACCCGAAGATCTCATGGGACGCGAAGATGTTGACAAAGCAGTGCGTGAACGACCCGACCAGCTGAAGTCGCCACATGAGAAATCAGTCGAGGCAGAGCAGAAGACCGCTGTCGAGGAAAGCAAAGCTAAGCCAGAACAACAACAGGCACTAGTCACCACCAATCAGCTATTACAGCAGGTACAGGCGCAGCGCATGGAGGAGGATGACGATGAGGTCATTAAAATACGCACAGAGTCCGAGTCCAGTGTTGAGGAGGTCCCAACCAAGCGAGTCCGCATGCGTAAGTTAAATGCCAATAATTGTGGTTATTTTAATTCACAAATTCCAAAGAATAGTTTTTCTTTGTTACTTTAGTTTCTAGATAGTTTCGAAAGCTTTTAAAACCGCATCTTCTGTGAATCATCTCTTATCAATTATTTTTATTACAGTGAACAAGGCCAAGAAGAACGAGGATGCTGTATTGGAGGCTGAACAGCGTGCTGCCAAGGAACGCGCATTGGTACCCCTGGAGACGCGAGTAACTCAGTTCAAGGAGATGTTGCGCGAAAAGGATGTGTCCGCTTTCAGCACTTGGGAGAAGGAGTTGCATAAGATTGTGTTCGACCCGCGCTACTTGCTGCTGACATCGAAGGAACGTAAACAGGTATTTGAAAAATATGTCAAGGATCGTGCTGAGGAGGAGCGTAAGGAGAAGCGTAATAAGATGCGACAGAAGCGGGACGATTTCCGAAAGCTCATGGAAGAGGTCAAGCTGCATGGCAAGTGAGTAGAAACCAATTTAATAAAAATATTTCTGTACTGAGACAAAACAATTTGAAGAGGTCAATATTTGAAAAAGGGTTCGCTAATAACGGAATTTTAATAATAATTTAATTAGCAATTGAAATATAGAATACAATTGAACGCACAATACTCAATGTTTTGTTAACTTTAGTGTATAATACGATTCACAAACTCCGCACTTTATAGATAAAAGCAGTAGAAAGTTTAGTACAAACCATATATATCCTATACAAATATCTATAGAAACAAGTTTATTTTAACTGAATGTTCAAGAGTCGGACAGGCGTGACTCCTTATGAAATGATTTGTTGCTCCAAATCCTTTCGTTTACAAACAAGCAAATATTATTTGAAAACAAATCAATCAATCAAACGTTTATAAAAGTTATTCATGTCTCCTCCAGAAGATACACATCTTATTTAATTTTCGTGTTGAACTTAACTTTTCCTTCATTTCATTCAGTCCCAATTCAATTTGATTAATGTTCTATTTTATCCGCAGGTCCTCTTTCAGCGAGTTCTGTCAGCGCAATGCCAAGGACGATCGCTTCCGGGCCATCGAGAAGGTGCGGGAACGGGAGAGCCTCTTCAACGAGTACATTGTGGAGGTGCGGCGACGGGAGAAGGAGGACAAGCTGCTGAGGAAAGAGCAGGTATGTGTCGATGCGTGCATGCGATTGCCGCTGTTAATTACGTATCGCAAATATATAACAAACCACAATTGAAAATCATTGTCCCGGCAATGGTTGTACATATATATCTCTATTCTTATAATGATATCTATAAATATTAATTTAACCTTATATAATACAACATATTTACATAATGTGATTTTTTGTTAATTTTAAAACATAAACATCGTACAAACGACGACCCTCCTGCCCCCTCGTGTCGTTTCGGTTTGTTGCAAATGTCACACAAAACACAACAACTACAACAATAAACAACAACTCCACCGTGTAGCAAACACTATTGTTGTGCGCAATTGTCGCCGCTTGATGTTGTGTGTGAGTTCACAGAGTACTGAAAATGCGCAACGCCCACAAAATAATAGTAATAATAACAAATAACAATGTCCATGCAAATCTGATCATCTGCCTTGAAACGAGAATTGAATTGATCGGATCTGTAAACCGATACGAAACGAAACGAATTGATATCGATTGTCTGCCAGCCGTCATCGTCGATAGTCGATCTTCGTTGCCATCTTCAACTACACCACGCACACGCTTGCAATCCTGTGTGGTGAGTTACAAAAAACAAACAAAAAATTCAAATTTTTTTTCTGCAATTTTGTGCGAAAAAGAAATCTGGAAAATATATGAAAAATCACTCAAAATCAAAAGGTTTGCAAAACTGAAAATTAGCTGATAATCGTTGGTGTGATTTCCACTTCCCCCCTCCTCCCTTCCGTCGCACGCATAGGAAAGATGAAGATGATGGTGATGATGTTGCGATGGTGATGAGATGATGAGGAAGATGATGATGTTTTAGATGATATTGAGAGTTATGGATGATGGCATTGGAGCCAGAAAAGGAGTCACAACCACAACAACGGCTGGATTAGCTACAACAGCAACAACAACTAGAGGAGGAACAACAACGACGACTTCTACTACTTCTACATTACAATACGTATGCAGGTGGCTTCGGCGCTGAGCAAACAGTATGAATAATACATAATTTAATTAACCCAATATATATTTTTTAATTTGTTTCTTGTTTAAAAATAATCGATGAATGTTCTAATGACCAACTCAACAAAGTTCATCATTTTGTTGGCATGTGCCAGGCAAATGGATCCTGAATTCTCCACCAATAATTGGAGACAATAGACTATTTCTCCATTTGCCTGCACAAGCTTAAACAACGGCATTTTGGGCTCGTTGGAAACTCACTCTCTATAGACATTACCTTTTTATAAAACGATACACCTAAGCATATTTTAGTTTTAAATACTGTTTGTATTTGTACGATACGGCATAGCCGTAGAATTTTTAATAATAGCCTCGTGCACAATGGGAAGAAATGGTATAATTGAACGATTATAAAAAGGGGGGATTGGGATTGAAAGAATTAAAAAGTCCCATGTTTAATTTTACGGATGGGAGAGATAGTGTAATTATGGCAAACTTTTTAAATTATGAGAAAGTGTGGGATCGGGTTTGATATCAAAACCAAAAACGATATAACTCTGTATTTTTCAGTTAATTTTAGTAGAATGCCATAAATATCAGTCGTAATAGATTAGAAGAAACATTTCATCAAAAGTTGAATATCTAGTTCACTATCCGATATGTGAAGCAATTTGGTTTTGAAATTAGTTATAGCAAAACTAGGAGAACACTAGACCAAATTCATAACAATTCATATTCATAATAAATCGTTTTTCCGGAATTAAGAGGAATTGTCAATTTCGTTAGTTTCCACATAATTTAATGAAATTCCGAAATTACTGACCTGCGTTAATTTTTTTCACAAAATGTTCGTGTTTTAGCAATAGCTTTACATATCAGTACACCATTTAGTTAGTTACTAAAAGGAAGTGGTTTTTTTATATTGCTTCATAAGCCCTCGTCCGGGCTGGGTCCTGTCCGTGTTGGAATCCGAGCCATTTCTAAACCACATTTAATCCCGTGCCTGGCTATACTCTAATCAACTTTTCTTTCAGCTTAGGTGAAGAAAGTTAATCTGAAAATCTCTCTCTTTCAGCAACAAAATCGTGTAAATATATTTGATAACTATTAAGTTCTTTAAATGTGATGTTAAGTTAAGTTAATTAATAAGTTTTACAATTCTAAGTGCAAGCGACTATCAAGGCCAGAGACGCAACTAATTCGTTTTCACACCTACTCTCTTTTCTTCCGCATGGCTGTCATGTCAAATTCCCTTTAATTCACACAATCTAGATACGCAAGGACTTTTTCGATATGTTGCGTGAGCGTCACGACATTGAGAGACATACGCGCTGGTATGACATTAAAAAGAAGTTCGAGTCGGACCCACGCTATCGAGCTGTGGACTCAATGTATCGCGAGGAATACTTCGAGGACTATTTGCATGTTTTGAAGGACGAGAAACGTAAGGAGCGCGAGATGCGCGAACAGCGCGAACGTGAACGACAGCGGGACCGCAAAGCGGAACGCCGGGAAAAGGAAAAGGAGAAAGGACGCAAAGACCGCGGGCGTAGTCGCAGTCGTAGCCGCAGTCGGGAGCGTGCAGAACGCAAATCGTCTCGAGAAAAAGAGGAGAAGAGCAAGTCGGGGCGAATTAAACGAGACTCACCGGTAGGTTCCATTTTTTAGTAGTGAAAATTTTAGTTCGACAATCATCGAATTTAATTACATTTGTCGAAATTGATTTTGTTTTCAGGAGGAGGGCGAACATCGTGATGACTCGGAGCCGGAGGAGCGCGAGGAGCGTGCGCTCAGCGAGGATAGTGAAGATGCACGCCAACGGGAGAGCGAAGCGGAACAAAAGCAAAAGGATCGGGAGCGTAAGTTAAGAGCAGAGCAAAGCATTCGTGAGCGAGAGAAGGAGGTGCAACGCACACTGGCCGGTCATCTGCGTGACAGGGACAAGGAGCGTGAGCATCATAAGCGTGACGAAGCGATTGGACATTTCAATGCATTGCTAACGGATTTGGTGCGCAATCCGGACTTTACCTGGAAGGAGGTAAAACGGCAGCTACGCAAAGATCATCGCTGGGAACTGATTGAAACGCTCGATCGTGACGATCGTGAGAAGTGAGTAGAAAGAAAATTGAACTACCTATCTTCCTGCTTAAATCCACACATAATATTACTTTCCAGAATCTTCAATGAACACATTGATAATCTGATGAAAAAGAAGCGTGAGAAATTCCGCGAAATGCTGGAAGAAATTTCAAGCATGGAGTTGACCAGCACCTGGAAAGAGATCAAAAAGATAATCAAAGAGGATCCACGGTATCTCAAATACAATTCGGATAAGGGAGAGCGCGAATTCCGCGACTATATAAAGGACAAAACACTGCAGGCGAAGACGGCTCTGCGCGAGCTGCTGCAGGAATGCAAATTTATAACACACAAGAGCAGCGATCTCATCAAAGAGAATGCCAATCATCTCAAGGAAATTCAGGATATCCTCAAGAATGACAAACGGTGAGTGTCACTAAATTGTAAAAGAAAAGCAATCTTAAATACTTATTCTTCCATTCCGCAGCTACTTGGTGCTCGAGCACCTGGAGGAGGAGCGTAACATCATTCTAATGAGCTTCCTTGAGGAGCTAAACAAACGTGGACCACCACCGCCGCCTACCGCATCCGAGTCCACACGTCGTAATAAGTAGTCGCAGTTTCAATTAACATTATTATGATTCGATGCAGCAGGAAGAACATAAAGATCTTTCGTCTAATCAATATTATTATTATTTTTAGCATTCAAACTAAAACTATAAAACATAATTTAAACACTTTTAATTAAATAAAACTATTGAGATGAATGCGAAGCATGTTGTTTTCACTTTAAAACAAAAACTATCTACTGGTAAGATTTTAAATAATTTCCACATTTAACTGAAGTTTTAAAAAATGTCATCCATAAAGATGCTGGTGAACCAGTTAAAATGAAGAAAGGGCCACGCCTTTCTTTCTTCTCAGCGCCCACATAGTTTTGTCCATCTCATCCAGTACTACATAGATAGAAAATTACATGATTACCTTCTTGAATAATTGCTTGGTGATCACAGCTTTAATTGGAGAGAGTGGCCTGGTTGTCCATTCATTTGGGATCGATATGGAGAAAAACTTTGAAAAAATCAGTCCAGTAGTTTTGACGTGTATTAAAATTCACAGACGTTGATGTTTAAGTCGGCTATTTATTTGTGCCTAAACTGGCTGTGGTTAGGGGATTCGTATGAGAAGTGCGGAGGAAGGCTGTTCTAATTTGTGTTAGTTAATAAAAATGAATTTTTATAATTAATGTGAATTATTCAGATATTGGTGACTAGGATTAGGTGGATAAGTGGATACGTTAACTGAGATAAACAAAGAAGAAACCACATTAGACTTTATATAGTATGTAGGTACATTAAAGGGAAGCGTATTCTTTCTAGAGATGTCCGTTTGTTCAGCCTTGTTTTAAAGCAGCTAAGCAGAAACTTTCTTTACCCTAATGCCTACAATTAATGAGAAAAGTAAGTCCATTTTTTTTATTGGTTTTTATTTAAAGTCCCAAACAATTGCACATTAGTAAGCTTCTTGCAAAAGTTGACCCAACCCGATCCACATTATTGGAGTTTGTAAATAAAGCAATTTGGGAGAAAGTGAAAGTTGGAAAGACGGCTTCTTAGATTTGTACAACCTTTGTTTGACAACCTTTTAATGGTTTCACTTCTTTATTTTCTTACATTACTTTAGACGTAGACTAAGCTGAGCTTTTAATTGGCAAATATTTGCAGAATATTTGGGTGCTTTAGCTTTGGTCAACTTTGGTTGAAAAGGCCTATAAAAGAGCCAAGTTTTGAGTTCATTTGCAAAATGAAGCGCAACCACTTAATTATTTGTTTCGCTGTAGTTCTGTGCCTTTTAGGCAACATGGAGGCGGGACTGCTTTTGAACACCAACAGAGGAATATTTTGTAAATGGACATCGAAACGCGGATGTGATCACAAAACACCGTATTGTGTGACGGCCACCATCAGCGGTACGGTAATGTGTAAAAATTATCGCAGCGAGTGCAAATATCTATTGGACCAATGCCTGGGCAAGACAGGTGAGCTGTTCTTTTGAATTCCCATTAAAATTTTAAATATTTGCATCGTCCTGTTTCCCCAAGAATATGGCCGCACTGGTACTCAAGCCGCCTCAACAGCTTGCACAAACATTCCCATTGGTTCTGTAGGCACCTGCCAATAACAGAAAAAAATAAAGCCTGATCTGCTTAATTAGACGGGACTGTAGACTATGGCTATCAAACTATCAATAGTCTGGATTAGTTCTTTCCGTGACATTTTATTGCTGATTGATTGTTTTTTTAAATGCACATAACTATTGATTTGCCCGCCACTTTATTATTATTTATTTTATTTTGTATATTTTCAAATAAAATTTTATTTTATTACTCTATTTCCCACTTACCGATGGTAATTTTCATAGTCTTCTTGATTTTGAGTCGATAGCACTTGAAATAAAAGTGAGCATTGAGCGTTATTCTCAATAATCTTAAAACTATACTATCGATTATTCTACATCACTGTTGTATAGATAGTTTGGAGACTCTAGTTCTTTCCAAGATCCTAGGGTGCATATTTGTAGAACGAGGAATATTACTATTTGTTACCTGTATGATAAAAAACTTTCTTGCACTTAGGTTATGCTGAAATGAACCCTGATCAACAACTTATCAAAAAGTTGTTGGTACTAAGATTGATTTTTGCATTGATAGTTCCTATGACAGCTAATATATGCTTTGGTGCAACGATTTTGATGAAACTTAAACGTATCAATTCTATTATCTTATGGCAGCTATATAAAATAATGGTGCTATATATACCGAAATGAAAGACGTGCATTATACAGATTCGAATAGGAATCTAGGTATTTTATATCTACGAGTATTACCAACCCTTGAAATTAAATTGCACCATCTTACAACATCTTCCTGTTTTATATATATATATATATTTTTATTGATCATTTTTAAATACTTTATAATAATTTTTCATTCATATACATATATATATATATATAGATCTTGCTTTCGTTTTCATTTCATAATTCTAGTTGTGTGTATATATATATATATATATATATTGTATATATGTAATCATTCATCGCCTTGCTTAAACATTTCTACATTTATTGTTTAATACACATTCGTTCTGCAATTTGGAGTTCCGAGTTTTTAACACTAAAACGTACACATAATCATAATTATTCATAATTCCGCATAATTATATGTAAAAGTTCAGTTGCGTCTTCGTTTCCAATTTGGCACCAAATTGGCGCCAATTCAATAAATAGTTTTAATTTGCAAAACACATTTTTATAATTGTATTTTATGTTTCGTTTTTGTAATAATTTTTCTTTTCGTTTTTTAAATACGATATAAATGTTGTGTTAGGAACTAATAGCGAAAATAATGCGCTCTGTGAAAAATGTTATATTGATGTTTAATTTATTTTACTGTTATTTTTTCTTACGCAATTTATGAAATTCATCTGTGTAGAGCGTTACGAAAAAATGGAGGAAATATGCAAACATGAAAATAGAGTAAAGCTGCTGTCGGAAATGTAAATTTTTGGCATTGCAAACTCCCAGCAAATAACAAATAATTTCGAGAAAGCCTGTCCAAGGAGCCTACGACTTGAGCAGATATAGCATTTAAATTATAAAAAAAACCGATCTGATTACATATATAGTTCATTAAACAATATGCTCGAAAGATCTCAATGGCAGAATTATAAGCTCGGCACATATGTGGGAAATAATTTGTTCGATCACGGAATCTAAGTCCATAGTTGGGAGCAATCCTACGATCACTGATATTTTTGATCTTCTTGAGATGATGCGGGCAATACACTCTTCAATAGCGATCATTAGACGTGAAGATGCCATTCAATGTGTCTTGTTGGAAATGCTTTTCTGTATACTGGACGGTAAGAAATATTAATATCAAATAGTGTAAATATTCATCAGCGATTATTTTTTCATTTGAAGAATGAAATGATCATGATTGTTAAACCTTAATGTTTAATGATAGAGAAAATAGATGACAATAATATTGAAAAGCTATTAGTTTAGCGATCAGTTTGAAGGGATTATAGCTTAGTCTTTTCTAAAGTTTTTTCTACGATCGAGCAATTTTTAACCGGAAATTTTTAATGATCGTTCAAAGTCATCTGAAGGGTAAGAAACAGTTAACAGTTTTTGAATTCAGAATATTTGTTGAGGAATTTGTGATCTACAAATTTTTGATTATTGAAATTTATGATGATCTGAAGATCAGTTTGTGAAGCTTCTACTCAGTTATTTCATTTAACAAAAAAATTGATTTTTGAATTATATTTATTGCTATCGAGCAAAATGATCGTGATGATCGAATTTTATATGAATCGCAACTTGGTTTGTTTTTGCTTCAGAATTTGTAGAGGAAATATTGATTATTGACGATTATTTAAATGCGAGCGGTTGAAGTGATCGCGATCAGATTTAAGGGTATTTCGAAATTTGGGTTTGTTTCTGAAATAATGATCGGAAAAGTCCAAAATACATAACAAATAATTGCGATGAGCATCGTTTTACAACGTTGTTAATGGTATTTATAAAGAAATATGAACGTGATCAGATTGGAAGCATTTGACTTTATTTTTACAATCAACTGGTAATTATGAAGAGCGAGTGAAGTGATGAGAAATTAAATTAATGTGGAAATTCAACGAAATAGTTTTGATCAGTTTATTGAGATTGGGTTTTGTCTTAAGCAAAATGTTTACTGAAATTGAGGGAATGGCTTCCTTTTGTTGGAAGTATTGAAACAAATAACGAATAATCGCGATCAGCATTAAGGAATATTAGCTTTGTGTTTGTTATGTGGAAAATGATTTGAACTGATCGCGCTCTGATTGAAGTATGTAGGCTCGCAAAAATTCAAGTATGATCCGGAAATAATGTGTAAATTTCTGAGTGAAACGATCACCGATCACAATGGCATCAATACATACCCTTAAGAGATATTTGATCGTGTTTTGTATAATGAAGTAAAGAAAGGAATCAAACTTTAGAATCAGTTTAAAGGATAATTATATGTAGAATATTGCTGGACTCCCAACTACTCACTAGCTATGCCACACATTGCTACAGACGAGTAATTAACATGGTTTAGTTCGCTGCTCTACATACTAGGCTATCATCTTCTTTTTCTATATATATGTATAGTTAGTTACTATTATTAATATCATTGTTGTTCTTATTGATTCCTTATTTTGTTTTGTTTTTCTTTTGGTTAGGCACAAAGTAACTGGTTTTCATGGTATGCTATTTGTTTTCTTTTCTTTCTATCTTCATTTACATGCTATTTAGTTTCTAGTCGCTACTACCAATTTATTGAACAATTTAGTGTGTTTTTCTTTGTTTTTGTTTTATATAAATTTTAATATATTGCTAAATTTTGTTGTTGTTCAGTGTATATCTCTAAACCACATTTGGGTAATCATTGTAAATTGAAAAAATACACGCTTCTCTAATACTATGTTATCATATGACTACTTACTATTATTTATTGTTTACAACTACATACGTACACAGATATATATACCTAAGTACTGAAAAGTAGTTTTCCGAGTGTGTGTGTGTGGGGGGTGTATGTGTGTGTGTGCATAACAATTTGAAGTTTTTGTTTGAATTTGTTATCGGAATTGGTGGCAGTTACTCAGATCTGGTATGGAACCAAAGAGTGCTTTTAAAAGAAAACATCCCTCGATTGTTGAAACAAAAAACTAACTTTGTTAGTTTTCGAAAGAAATGAATGAAACATAAAATAAAACAACAGAAATCATATAAAAATATATATATATATATATATATAGGTGTATTTATATATATTTGTTTATTTAGTTACTAAATGTAGCAAAAAATTCTAGACATAATGTAAGCAAAACTGTTAAATAATACTCTCTAAGTCATATGTTAGTTACAGCGTTTAGCGCAAGAATTTCTTTGCTGAAAAGTGCTTTTTACAATTGTTTTTGTTTATATTTTGTTTGTTTGTTTGTTAAATGCTAAATACGAATTTTAAATTGTAAATCGAAACACTGCTAAATTCACAAAATTCCAATTGTGTAATGCATTTAAAATGCGAATTATTTGTTAATTTTATTTGTAGAATTCTCGTTTATGGTACAAACTAAACATAAATTTTGGTATTTCCAAATAGCAGCAGAGAATTGATTGGTTGAACTTGAAATGCAAACAACACTAAAAAGTTATTACAGATTTGTTGTTGGGAAACTTTTTGAAATGATTTTAAAAAGTGAACTGAAATTTTTTTCTTCTCTCTTCTCTTCTATTCTTTTGTTTCGTGTGTTAGAATATATAAATTTATATATATATTTATATGTGTGTATATGTAGATTTATGTATATAATACGTTTATATAAATAATTAGTTAATTAATCATAACATACGCATAAGAATTATTGTTGCTGTTGCTATTGTTGTTGTTGTTGTTGCTGCTGCTGTTGCTTGTTGTAATAATAATTCATTAGTAATGGTTAAATGAGCTGCTGTTTCTTGGTTGTTAATCAGTTGCCCTTTGTGGCCTCCTTGGCGGCCATAATCAAAGGCGTTAGACTGGCCAGAGGACGCGCTAACTTCAGGAAGGGATGCTGCCAAAGAGAATGAATGCATTAAATAGCTGATTAATGGCATGCATTTAATAATAGACATACTTTGAGCAAATCCATGGCGCTGGCACGCCTATCCACCTCCACTTCCAGACACTGATCCAAGAAATCTTGAAATGCTGCGGACAGCTTGTCTTTTTCCTTAATCTCCGGCTTGCCGTTTGTGGCAATGAGGTACAGGGCTTTTAGCGGATTCTCGTTCAAATAGGGTGGCTCGCCCTCAACCATCTCAATGGCCATAATACCCAATGACCACAAATCGACCTGTAAATAGCAAAAATTTTTATGATTAGACGAAACAGTTCTCAGGTAAATAACAGTTTGTTTCGCGACAAACATTCTACATATCTCTTAAATAATATTACTGGTCTTTCGGTTTATGTAATCATTTACTTTCAAAGAACAATTCTCAGGCATTAATATTATAACCGAACATTATAATATTAAATTCTTTACTTAATTAAGTATTTTAATTTATATTTATTATTTTAAATTTATTTTTGAATTCCTTTATACTTGTTTTTGAAGAAATAGCAATTTCCTCACCTCTAATTCTTTTTTGTTAGGTCTAATAACGTCTCTAACTACTCAAAATAAAATCCCCCGCCGAGTCGAATTCGTTATTAGGTAGTTTTGTAGTTTCTATAGGCTTTTTATTTCTTTAGTTCTATTGAGTGTAACAATAGAGAATCGATTGTATATTGGCAAAAATATTCACAAATAATTCTTCAACTTCTTTGATGAAAAATCATCTTTTTATTCGGAAAATTTTGGAAATATTACGCCCAAATCATTTATTATTATTTTCTTTAATTTTTTAACATTTTTCTAGATAAATTGCAATCCAATTTTACGCAAAAGAATTTATGATATGAAAAGAAATTAAATCTCTCATCTCAGAGGTAGAAATAATTGAAAGTTTTTAAATGACTATAGAAAAGTTTGCTTCCCACTTCAATTCTTTAACTGTTCTTTTTTTTTTTAATTTGGCAAATATATGAACTCATTACTTAAGTCAAAGAAAGCGAAAATTGTGGAAAAATAAAGAAAAATCACCCTTGAAACAATTTAAAAACTAAAATTTAAAAATTACCACAGAATAGCAGCTTTTTAATTATTTTCATCAACTGGGGAGGTTCTGAATTGACTCACCTTGGGTCCGTACTGCTTACGTGTAACCACCTCGGGGGCCATCCAGTAGGGTGTGCCCACCATAGTTGTGCGTTTCGATTGCTCAGGTGAGATCTGCGCGCAGAAACCGAAATCAGTCAGCTTGACGGAGCCGTCGAGGCCCAGCAGTATGTTATCACTCTTGATGTCACGATGTATGACTTGGTTGGCGTGGAGGAACTCCAGGGCTTGCAGCACCTCGCGGCACACGGCCGCTATCTGACCCTCATCCATGCAGGTCTCGGTGACGACGTCTGTGAGCGAGCCACCCGGTAGATATTCCATGACCACCCACAACTCCTCCGATACCAGATAACTGTCGAGGTAGTTAACGACATTCGGATGCTTGTTCTCTCGCATCACCAATATCTCATTGATGATCAGCTCCTTTTTGGGCTGTTGCGATAAATTCATTTGTTTGATGGCCACCTCCATGCCAGTCGAGGATTCAATTGCCGTATAGACGGTACCCGAGGCACCCTGTCCGATCTTCTCCATTTTATTATACTTGCGTGTGGGATCGCCGACGGAGACAATTGTGCGCAGCTTCTCCAATATTTCCTCGTCGGACATTTTCTTCTTTTTGGCATTGCCGGCGCGAGTATTGGGTGTGGCTGCCGCCGCCTGCGGCACAGCAATCTGTTGTCCCGCTGCGGGCGAGGCATTCAGATTGTTGGCCACTGTGGTGGCATTTGAATCGTTTGTCGTTGCCGTCGCCGCCGATGCCGCCAGCTGGTGTGTGTTCAACAGGTCTGTGACGATGGTGGTGTTTGTGGTGTGGGCGTTGGCGGGCGTGTTGGCGGGAGCAACGACAACGGGCGTGGCCGGTGTAACCATTGTAATGGTAATTGCAGAGTCGCGTATTAGCAGTGGCGATGGTGGTGGTGGTGGCGTCGACGATAAGGTTGATAATGTTGGCGTTGGACAATTTATTGGTGGCAGGTTGGTATAAATTGTTGTGCAATTTGTAGTTGTTGTTGTTGAAGTCGCATCGTCGTGAAACGAGGGGAACGATGAAAAGGAGGAAGCAGAAGAGTCGTGATTAGTCGTTGTTGTTGCTGTTGCTCGAGCAAATGATGATGTTGTTGTTGTAGTCGCTGCTGTATTGCAGTCATTAAAATGTATGCTATGAGTACTGATAGTAGTAGAATTAGTAGTAGACAATACACTAGTAGTATTATTAGTAGAAGTGTTATTAGTAGTTGCTGTTGTTGTTGTTGTTGCTGTAATTATTCCAACAATATCGCGCTCGTCAACTATATCTGTTGTTGCTGTTGCTGTTGGAATCGTTGGCGCTGGCTGTGGTGCCATTGCTGTTGTCGCTTCTATGCAGCTATTGCCTGCTGTTGTAGGTTGTCGGTTGTTGTTGGAGTCATTATTTGTTGCAGTAAGCAGCATTTAAAAGATTTGTGCATTCAAATTGAATGCAAAAACAGAACACAGAGGCGATACAATAACAATAACAACATTATGTTAAAATTTTAAACACACACAATGCAGATTAAAACAAACAACAATTAATATTAGTTATTACTTTTAATTAAAACTAACAATTATATTGCATTCAAGACTATTCCCATTTCTCAGAGATGTGCGCGAACTACCAGGAACATTCAGTCACCAACCATTTACATTGATCAAATGAATCTTCATCTACTTTTAGACAACTGCATATGAATCTACTTCTTTTTTAGATAACCCTTCGATCAATAACTTGAACCATTTGTATCGAATGAATCTTCATCTTCTTTCGGATAACTACCAGAAACATTCAGACATCAACAATTTACATATATCGAATGAATCTTCATCTTCTTTTGACAACTTCTCATTCATCAACTATTCTTCATCTTTTTTTTTTAGCAGATAGCATATTTTCGGACTTCTAAAAACATTTGGTCAATATCTTCTTTCATCAACTATTCTTATGAAATAAATATGCATCGAATTGCATTTCTAATAAAATGACTCAATATCTTCGTTTAGCTAACATCTCTTCGGGCTACCAGAAACTTTTGGTTAACGGCTTCAATCATTAATCATTCATATCGAATTAATCTTCATCTTCTCTTCAATAACACATCATCGTTTCGGTCAATAGCTTCATTAAATGAAGCTTCAACGAAATGCATTTCCAATAACCCAATATGTTTCTTTCAAATAATATTTGTAACTCTCTTTTGAATATTGTTAACTTTTCTTAATAAACAAAGCTCTTGCTGTCCAATAAATATCTTCTTTCTATAATGTAAACAAATGCCGCACATCTCTGAGCTATAGATTACTGTTTAGTGCCCGCATGGGGAGAGTTCGATACTCACTTGCATTGTTTTTGTTCTTGTCAAGCGTCGTTGTGGCATTATTCAGTTTGCTGCCCGGCGAGAGCGTCAGTAGCTTTTTGCTCTGCAATGGAGTTGTGGGCGTGGTCGCCGGCGCCGCTGGCATGCTCATCTGTTGCTGCTGCTCATCGATGGGCCGCGTGTAGATGGATTTCGTGCGCTCTGGCCGCGAAGCCACTGGCGGTGGCGGCGGCTGTGGTGCGCCCAAAATATCGTCCTCGTTGGCGGATGAATGTTGCGATGATGAGGAGGCCGTATGGCCACCAAAATTATACGAATGCGATTGACTGATGCCGATGTGTTGCTGCTGATTCTGTTGTTGTTGGTGTATTTGTTGGTGTTGCAACTGTTGATGCTGTTGGTGTTGCAGCAATTGTTGCTGCTGGTAATGATTGCTCAGCATTTGACCCGCCACCGACACATTGTTGGCATTCGGCCCCAGCGTCATGCTGCCCAGCTGGACGCCGATCAGGTTGCCGCCACTGTTCGAGGCATGCAGCTCGGAGTCAGTGGGCGTGCTGCTCGGACTGCTGCTGCTGACGCGACTGAGCGAGGAGCCTGCATTTAGAACGGAATACATTAATATTAACACTCTTACACTAAGGCCTTGAATAATGCGATCGATTTGGATACAGAATAGCTTTAGGCTTCAGTCGAAATTTGACTTTAAAATTCATTTTAAACGTGTGTTTCTTCATGTGATATTAATGCTATAAACTAGAGTTAAGATCTTTTTCCAACTGAAACTTAATTATATTCATTTCAAATTAAGCTGTGAGGAACCACAACATTTGAAACTATTATTTATATATAGAAAAAACATGTTCCACAATTCTTTTTAGCACCATAATATCGAATCCTTCGCACACTTAAAACTTTTCTCAATAAACTTTAATTGCTTGCAACGCAATTATATTCATTTCAAATTAAGCTGTGAGGAACCACAACATTTGAAACTATTATTTATATATAGAAAAAACATGTTCCACAATTCTTTTTAGCACCATAATATCGAATCCTTCGCACACTTAAAACTTTTCTCAATAAACTTTAATTGCTTGCAACGCAAATAACGCATTATTCAAGCGTTGTCCGTACAGACTAGTATTTGGATGAAGAAGTTGGATTTAGTTACTCACCTGAGTGCGTCGTGATGGCATTTGTCATGTATTTGGAACTTGGCCTCTGTTTGGTTGTATTGTCGAACCATTTCAGGACATCAAGCACGGCCTGGGGATTCTTCTTTTGCTCCTGCTTGCTAATGTTGGAGTTCATCAACAGACGCGCCCATGCCTCTGGCATGCCCTGTAAATCAAATAAAAGAGCATTCCAAGTGCAATAAACTCGTTATATTGTTTGTTTAGGGCAGGCAGGCATTGAAGGCATGTGCTGCAACTATTTTCTTCTCTATGGCTAGCCAGAGCACATGGCATGGAATGTGAAATGAACTGAGATGGGTACGAGACAATATATTTATTGGTAAGACTTTTCGATTTCATATCCACCTGTTCAAGAAGTCGATTCTCTTGATCTATAGAATACAGACATTCACAGGCTGTAGATTAACTATTTGAAGTCTCGAAACCTTTATGGGAATTGAAAATAGACGAAATTTTGTTTCGAAATGTTTTGGCAACATTCACATTTTTCACAATTTATATTTTTGGTGCCATCTTTTGGACAACAATCCCGTACCCAACTCTTTTAAGTAGACTGAGGGTTATGGTTATACAAAAGAAAGGATACAGAGACTTAAGCTATGGTCAGACAAGCAAATAATTTGCACGCAAATACGTAATATTTTACAATTAAGCCTTCAACATGCAATCGCAAGTTTGTTGTAGTTGATAATTAACGATTTATAATGAAATGTTGATTGTGTTTAAATTATTTGCCTGCTTGAACACACCTTAATCAATTTATATAGCTTGAAGAAACGGAGAGGAGTGTGGTTTTTTGGGAGTTTGGTTTAACAAATGAGCAACACACTTAGATCATTGAAAGAAGCCAGCGCTTAAAAGCATTTTAACTAAACTAATCAAGCTTACTAATATTATGTGGCAAGCTTGTTAACAAAGTGAAATTGTGTAATGTATAGGGTATGTATTGTGTAAGAAAACGCAATTGGTAACAATCACAACAATATAGAGATAACTATAAGGCCCGATTATTGAAAACATAGTAAGTTGGTAACGAACACATAAACGGAATAGCTCTTTCGGCTTTAACTGACAGTGGAAAGACTAATGAAGGCAAGTTCCGTTGCGTTAGACTTGGCGTTTACTTACTTTCATTGGCAGCTTGAAATAATAACGAACAATACAAAATCGGTATAGAAATTATCAAAAACGAGGCAAAGAGAGTGTGTGTGAGTGTACAAGTAAGTATGTATATGGCTAGGGGCACCAAAAGCTTATGTATAACGAGTATGTATTATATGTAAATGGCTGACCAATGCGGGCTTATATGGGCAGTTGAAAAACGCAAAAGTTTGGTTAACCTTTATAGGCAATGCCAAAGAGAGAGAGAGAGCTTTAATGGGTTTTGTTATGTTATCAACAGGTAATTATTTAATTGCGTTTAAAATTTTGTTATATTAATTTATTATAAAGTGTATAAAGCTTTGTAGCACTTTTCTCAATAGCTCTTCTTACAAGTATTTAGCAATTTGTATAATTTGTTATTTAACTTTTTTTATTACTTTAAAGTTAACAAAGCTTTGTTTAAACAGGACTGTGCTGCGAGATATTTGTATATTGGTTTTATTTTTAAAATAAAGGTAAACCTTTGAAACTCATATCACATATGAAATTTTACTGCAAAACTTTCCCTATTTAAAAAATAAATGAGTATATTTTCTATCAATAAACATGTTTGTTGCCCAGAGATAAATTATATGGCTTAAATAAAAATTCATAAAAATATTTAACTGCTTATCATCAAACACATTCCAAATAAACTAATTAAAGGTAAATCCAAAACAAAGCATCATCGAAACAATAGATAGCGATTTTCCAAATAGGCCAATCCGTTAATTGGTTTCGTCTGCCCACACGTTGAATATTCTTATTGTTATTTTTTTAATTTGAAGCACGTTTTTCTAAACAAGTTTTTGAAATTTTCAACATTTTCCCCTAATAAAAAGTGTCTGTGTAGTCTTTTCGAAGAGCTCTTCAACATCCAGACGCATTTAAAATGCAAAATATAATACTGAAGCGTTGAAATCAACACGAAAATGCTGAGTTGCCCGTCAAAATGAAAATCGAATATTTATTATTGTTTGAAGGCCAAGAAGCAAGCACATAAAAATAATGTACATATCTCTATATCTATATATTTTCTTTTTCCTATGGAATCGGTTGTGATAGACTTACCGTAAACTCGCCTGTGACCGCATCGAAACCGACATGGACCGTATGCTCGAAATTCGTGGGATACGATATATTTGGCTTGGAGTCCGTATGCGATGGTTTTGATCCCTTGATTTTGTTCTTAAGCGTCTTCTTCTTGCGGTCCGCATCGTCGGGCTCTTCAGGTGGATGGAAAAAAAGGCACATTGTTGAGCGTGCGAATGGCTGCCACATACTGAATAGCTTACCTTTGGGTAACGGACGCATATCCACAGGTGGCGCATCGCCACCACTGCCTACAGCCACGCCCACACCCACAACTCGTTCAATGCCACCCCCACGATTGCTCGTGAGACGCACTGGCGGTGCTGGCGGCTTATCTTCCTCGCTCGACATTCTGCTGCGGCACAGCTGTTTGCCTCTAGATGTTGCGTCGCCTCTTCCTCACTTCCGGGATACTTCCTGATAGTAAAACAACTGTGGCTGCCTCAATACGCGTATATATGTATGTATGTAGCGTCTGAAATGTGAAATCGAATTGGAATGCAACAGTTATTGATATTGTTTAGTGAATAGCTGCAGAAATGATTTCATGCTGTGAGCATTTTTGCGGTTTAGGTTTATAAATAGGGGGGAAAGCTTATCTTTTCGCAAGGCTTATCTAATTTTCATTTTTTGCTGCCGAAAGCAACCATTCACCATACACTAACAAAGGTGTATTCTATTTTAAGTAATTTTTTTGCAACGCAGACAAAAGGGAAAGAAACGACCCTACTTTATTCCCAAAAAATGCGTGGGCGCTGAAAGGTTATTTATCAAAGCGGCATTAGTTAATTACAAATATTTTATGCTATTCTATTTTTAGTCGGTATTTTTTTTTTGCAACACTGACAACAGATCTACTTTTATATACATACAAATCAGGGAAGGAGTTGGGGTAAGGGAAATATTCTTTTTAAATTTTGTTTAATTTGCTTGAAATAAATGTGCCAGTTTTTACTAAAAACTTCGTTGAACTTTTTGATTTATAATCAATTTATCGATTATATTTATAACGAAACTTTAAGAATACGCATCTTATTTAATATTTAAAATATATTAATTATATTTGAAAGTTGAAAATTATATGCATTCCGAACCATTCAAATACAAACAAGAAATTTAATTGTAACTTTAGAGCCAACAAGTTTTCGTGGGCTTGGGACAAGTTATGATCAAAACAGAGTTTTGGGAAAAAAAATTTTTCGTAAAAAAAACCCCATATGAACAAGTTATACAAAAAGAATCAACAAATGATCAAATAAAAATTGCATTTTAGAAAGTATTTAAACTAAATCAGAAACCAAAATCTTTGGATTTTCCCAATAATTCCTTTTTTAAGCTGTGGTCAGACTTGCCAATAATTTAGAGTCCTTGAAGAGTTGATTCACAAGTTTATAAGCTTATTATATCACAAAACTATTCATATTCAAGTCTACAATGCTTATGGTTTGTGTGCAAATTATCTGTCCATAGCTTGATGAGTATTTTAACTAAAAATACACCTGAATTTCAAATAAATCAGTCGATTATATCACACACATACTTTTGTGTTTCAGTGTGTGTGTAGATTTTGTAGACATGAGCAGTGATTAAAAAATTGCAAGGGTACATTATCTTCGGTATGCCAAAGATAACGCTTTTTGTTGTTGTTTTTTCTTGCAAGTCGCGTCATAAACAGGGCAAAAGAAAAAAATTCCCACAAAAAAGAAAACAACGAGACGTTGTCATAACATACATACATATGTATGTGCATATGTATGTATGTAATACATGCGAAAAATTATATTCATATATACCTAAAAATATATAACTTTGTACATATATTTCACACAGTTCTACATACACACACACAACTTATACAATATTCTTGGTTTATTATTTTTTATATTTATGCGCAAAAATACGAGGAAATCAACGTCTCCTCCACACACGTCTTAATTGCTTTTGCTTTTAGTATTTTTGTATTTTTGCACTGATTTTATATTTATGATATTGTTAAAGTCACTTTTGAGGCGCACATTCGTTTTAAAATTTAGCACAAAAACGTTTGAAAATGCTTTAAATCAGCACAAAAAGAACAACAAACTGAAGAATTGTTATGGGCAAGCAAATAAAAACTACATACATACATACATAAATGCAAACAACACACACCCACACAAAACTAGTCCACGAAACTATTATAATAACAGAAACTATGAAAAGAGCAACAACAACAATAACAACAGCATTAAACGCGGCGTTTTATGAATTGAGGGGCGCTCCCGTTGCTGCTGCTGTTGCCGGCCGACTGACTGAATGTGTGTGTACTAACGGCATTAATGGGCCGCTGCGCTCTCGTCTGGTCGACGGCCCGGCATTTTGAGTGTCACTGCCACTGCCCGCAAACAAATACAATACAACCAACGGCAGCAGCAGAAAGAACAACAACAGATACGGCGCCACTGTGGGTGTTGCTGAGAGCGTGGGCAAATGATACTATTCAGTAAAACCGTGAGAGAGCGGGAGAGAGCAGAGCAGCAATTGGAGATAAGTTTGACGACGATCAAAGCATTGATTCCAATAAGAATAAATATACAGAACGGTTCGTGTTTGCGATTTTGCTTACATTATTAAAAAACGAAATTGCTAATTGTCTCGGTTTTTGAAAACGAATTAAATTATTATTATTAAAAATAAAAATCATTATTTTAATATTTAATATATTGTCAAGATTAACTATCGTTTATTTTTAAGTCTATAACGCTTATAATTTTTAATAATAAACTATCAAGCCTATTAATATGGTCACTTTATTTGATTAATTGAGGCTAATTCTTTATTTCATTTCTGATTATACTCAGTAATTATTTATATTGAAATATTAAATTAAATGATCAATGTATGTACATATGCAATTTTTTAAAGAAAAATATTTTATTCATTTACAAATTAAAACAGCTGGTAACGAATCGTAATGAAACAATTTAAAATTGTAATTTCATTCAGCAAAATCAATACGGATTCGCAAACGTTTTTGTTTTTAAAAGTAATCGGGGACGGGAACAGTTCAAATGGACAGATAGTGTCTGCGTGTGTGCTGACGGAGAAGAAATGCTTTTGAACTCAAACATCTAGGGCGAGTGAGATAACAAATTCATACATAAATCCATTTGTATGTATGTATGGGTTAATGTGTGAGTGTGTGTTATCGATTAGGAAGAAAAACAAAACTGCGAGTCACAGTCACACATTTATCAGCAATTTTCGTGTTGTGCTTTTTCAATGTAAAAGAAATGAATGTCAAATTAAATGGAAATGCAAACACAAGACTTCTGAGTGCATTCTATGTGTTCTATGGGTGTAGATGGGTGGTTGTGGGGTGAAAAGAAAAAAAGAACATACGACCAGAGAGTTGAGTCGCCGCCGTCCAGTTTAATGCGTGCTCTTGTGTGTGTTTGTGTGTGTGAGAGTGCGTTTATGTTGATGTCTGCTTCGTTGCCGGCTTACAACAGCGCTGGCGACGATGTTGACGCTGACGCAGACTGCGCTGCTTGTATGATTCATTTATCAACGTCAAGCGTCAAAAGTCAATGCAGTCACGAACGGTGGGGCAGCAACAATAACAGCAACAGCGCATTCCAGGGCTGAAACAGCTATATGGAACAAACACTTTGTTTATATGCATGTGTGTATGTAGAGTAGGTTTTGGATGTCTGCCACAAATGCGACGACAGATACGTTGGCAGCCATGTAAATTAGTTTCTCCCAAAAGGTGGCAACAATATGTGATCGCAAAAGCAACAAAAGTCTGTCGCGTGGGTGGGCGGCAAACTCCATAAAACAACAACAACAATAAAGTCATCCATGTGGGCGCCAAGAATTGGGTTAATTGTTCTCTGCATCGTTGCATTTTGGCTTTTGGTCTTTTAAACCATTTTTTATTATCTCTCTCTCTACATTTGTTTTTATATTATTTTTTGCTTGAACTTCATGCAAAATCAATAAAAAGTATGACAACACAACATGTGATGTGGCTGCGATTTTGTCGCATTGCTGCACAGGTAATGTAAATTATTCCCTAATGAGCGCACACACAGCCCACTGACGCATCACCATCATCGCCATGGGCTTTCATGGACAGCATGATATTGTGGTTGGCAGGACAGGAAGCTTCCACACTACACATCCAGCATTACAAATTGCTGGCTGTGCATTCGAGAGTGGCGCGTGATCTGGGAATTATTGTGATCGTGAGTCACGCACATTGCGTTGTTAACAGCTGGTGGTTGAAATTTTAAAACAAAGTAAGCACTGTTGTCTCCATTTCGACTCACTTATTCGGAAATGGAAATCGCTTGCTGTTCCGGCTTCCGAAAAACAATCAAATAATTCTATTTCAATAATTTTGGCCATGCCCAACTGAAATCAAAAGTAATTCGCTTTTTATCTATAATTACAAAAAATGACAAAGAAGCGATTCTGATTATCTATTTTTTAGTATGAATATATTCCGAAATTTACTTTGAATCTATTTCAAAGGATTCATTCGGAATCAAATTAAAAACAAGTCGGAAATCAATTCCCTATGAAGATTAAGGAAATGTATTCTATAAAAATAAAAAATTAGTTTATTCAACTTAAATTAACAATTAGGTGGCAACTGAGTGTTGATTTGATTTAATATTTTCCCCAATCATTTCCCAAATTTTTCCTAATCAATTTCTATAATGCCCGATTAGTGCAATGCATTTGAGGTCCATATACTAAGTATTCTACATTTATTAGAAAATGTCTACATGAGCTAACTTATGTCTTTAAGATAGTTCTTCTTTAATAAATAGTATAATTATTGAGATTGTACATTTTTGTATTGAAATTCTGAGTTTTAATTATTGTTTTCAAACTAAAATGTAGAAATTTGAACACCCTGGGAATTTTTAATTTGCGAATGTTTACTGTGAATGCAACACTCTTTCATATTTGCAACGACAGCGGCTCGGCAGCATAGACTTGGTCGAAGTACCTGCTCAAGTGGGCCAAACATATTGTACATATTCATACATAGGTGCAACGTCATTGTGCCTATGTGTGCGTTGTGTTTGTGTGTGTGTTGGCGTTGCATGTTGCCAACTAAACAGCAAACAGCAACGACAACAACAGAGAGCGACACTCATAAAAGTGGCGCACTTTAGGCAATATATGGGTGTGTATGGCGGTGTGTTCCTGTATGTGTGTGTGTGTGTGCGTATGTAGAGGTGTGTGTGTTTTATTGCAACTTGCAGCAAGTGCAGCAGTTGCCATATTGTTGTTGTTGCTGGTTCGGCTGGTTGCGCTCATAAAGCCAAGTGGAGGAAGAAGCCACAAACGTTCATAAGCAACAAGAACAACAACACCAACAACGACAACAGCAACTACTACAACAACAATAATGATGATGATGACGACGCCGACGAGTGGCGCGCTGGTTGTCTTTTCTATTTTGGTTTTGCGCGCCACCCCAATGAAGAAGAAGCAGCGCCCAAGGAAGACAGAAAGAAAGAAATAAACGTATGTACGTCTGCCGCTGACTTGTGCAACGGATATTATGCCTATATATATTAAGTACCCATCCTTCCACCTTGCCCCCTCCCCACCACCCCAGCACTCCCACCCAGCAACATCAGACCATATTGTGGTGTCAGTCTTTACCTGTCGGTCCCGTATTGGTGGCAGAGAACCGTTAAACGCTAAATTGACTGCAAAATGTTGCGGGCCTAGCATTATAATTATTTTATGGGCCTATGTCGGTACACCATATAGTATTTGGGATTTTCTGTGCTTAGGCACGTTTGTTCTGTGTTCCTATTACACTGTGCAACATTTTTTTACATTTCGATGCTCAGTACATTTTTATTGCTCTACTCAAGAGCAATATTGAGCTACCGATGGCACTATCTATAAAACAATTGTTTAATATTTGGTTTACCAACTATTGATGGTAGGAGGAAAACAAATTGTTTTGCTTTGGAACGTTTATGAAGACTATTCTGTTTAAATGTTATATTTTGAGATCAAAATACCATTGAAGTTAAGAATTTAGGTTTGTGGTTTCCAATTAATATATACATTTAAGACCAAAACAGCTAGTACTAATTTCATACAACCTGAAATGTAATTATTGTATATTTATTTTAGAAAATATGATATTTTGTATTTGGTTCGGTTTCTCCTCCGAGTCGATAATATTTAAGGGAGTTTTCTTTATCTAAATGCTATGATTTATTGATTGTTAAGACCTGTTTTGAATTTTGCAATGTTTTGCTTTCTTGCTGGAAAATTCTCTGTTGATATTCCAAAATAGGCCAAAAGTTAGTTCCCATTTTTGTTGGATAGTGTTTATTGGAAACATTTTAGCCTAATGTTGATGCAGTTGCTGTTTTTTTGTTGTTGCACGTGCATGGTAATACTTTAGACACCCTGTACATGCAGTTGTTGACATTTTTCTTCTTCTTCGGCAACTGAGTCTCCAAGCAATGCCCAAAGTTTTTTTTACGACCCACAAATGCAATTTTATGACCAAAAACTTATACGTAAGTGTGGCTGTGGCTGTTGTTGTTATTTTCCTTCTTTTTCCATGAGAGCCCAAATTGTGTTTTATTTTGGGGCACACCAACATAGAGATATATAGACACACACACTTACACACACACAGTCGAAATGGAGCAACTCGCAATGTGTTAATCTCAAATAATCTTAAATAAAAACCACTTGAGTCGTTTTCCTGACCGTTTTTCCGGAACATATAAAAAGAAAACACAAGAGTGCACAGACAAACATGAAATAAAGAAAAAGAAGCGAGCACGTAGGGGGAGGGGAAGGAGGCATGCAGGCAGGCGGAAAAGCAAGCGCCAGTTCGAGTAGTGCCGTGTTGGAAAAATCAATGCACATGTGTGCGTGCGTGTTGCCAAACAGCTGCATGCAAGTATGTATGTGTGTGTGTGTGTCGCTAACACCAATTTAAAATTTGATCATGTATTAAAGTATGTAAGTGCTGTGTGTGCGTATGTATTTTTTATGAATGAAACTTTGAGAAACTCACTGCAGGTATATCTATGATGTGACACCCTGTTTACCGTTGCTCGTTCGTCACTTTCCAACGCAAAGAAGTGCGTTTAAGTGTGCGTGTTTGTATGTTTGTCTATGTGTTGTATTTGTTGTTGCTGTTGTAGAGGCAGGCGGTAGCAGCACTAAAGGGCAGAGGGGCAACACTTTCCAGCTGGAGATTTTTTACGTGTTTGTAAACTTTCAAGAAAACATCGGCACAATGCACTTTAAATACACACACACACATATAATTATGATGGTTTAAATAAACTATGCCTTTTTTTCTTATTTGCGGAAAACCCTTTGCGAAAGGAAAACCGCAGCGGCAGCGAGCGACGAGTTGGCAGCGCACAAGTGTAAACGACCCGAACGAACAAAACACAAATTTTCTTTTCTTTTCCAAAGCACAGTTCCACGCGTTGTTAGCCTGCCGTTTACGTGAGTGTGTTACGCGCGCGTTTCTGCCGCTATTCCAATACTCTAATTTACATTTTATGCGGTTTTTATAACAATTAATAAGAGCTCAAAACGCAGACTTTTTTGCTTCGACTTATTCAGGGCTGGCGAAGCAAACGATTACCACCGATTACTACAGCGATATATCTGTTCGATTAATTGCAAAGGTTGGACAGTGCTCCCCAAAAATCAACAGCTGCTTCAGCTAAAGCATGGGTAGCACTGTCACAACAATGTGGACGAATTTAAATGTATTGGAATGACAGAGAGCGAATAATCTATTTGTACGATGGGTCTTAGCACGAATTAATAAAAATGCCTTCATATGAAATAAATTTTTAATTTCCGCAAGTAACAAAACTTCGCCAAATCATGGCCCAGCTTTGTTTCCAAAAACCTGCAATTGTTTAGAGGAAATGCCAAAATTGCCTTTATTGGTTTGCTAGGAAAAGTGTGTACATACTTAAAATTGTACAGAAGTGTATCAAAACTCTTGCAGCTCGAACAGAGTAGGCCTGAAGTTTGCCTATGGAGTTGAATTTATATTTTATTCTATTTCTATTTTAAAATAGAATTATGGTTAAATTTAATTTATTTTCTTAGATTTCGGCGATATAACTGGATTTTATTTCTTTTATTTTATTTTTTAATAATTTGTTTGTTTCATTACTTTTATTTCAAAAATTATGGGATTTCGCTTGGTAGGCAACATCTCTGGGCATTACTAACTCTATTTTAAAATAGATTAATGGTTAAATTTGGTTAATGAAGTGTTTTTTTTTAAGATTAGGCGAAATAACTAGATTTTATTTCAGTTACACTTAAAGACTTAGGTTGTAGAGGTACCTTTGGCTTTTTAAGCGAGTCCAGCTTTATGCTTCATTTCTAAAGGCTAATTATTTTATGCATGGTATTATACTGTTACTATTTCAATAACTTAAATTAAACTTATTGCAAAATACAATTACAACTTATACAAGGGATTAGTCTTATTTACTTATTATATTGTTTATAACTTATATGAACCTATTGGCAAGGTCAATATGGTCATATGTATATGATCTTCTGCTTCCTTCTCATTATAAAAACATTTTCATGGGTTCGAAAAACCTCATATATTGTGAAGCTTGCTCAGAAAGAAAGTGCTTAATCCGCAATACACTGACAACAATGAATATTCAAACTGACCAAACTGACCCATGTTTTGGGGCAGCACTGTTTTGTAGTGCTGCCACTCCACAGTGATAACAGTTGCTTTTGTATGGGCAGCACTACAATGACGAGCGGGCTGTAGCATTTAAATATTTTTTAGCGCCAATTTATTAAGAATCTGGCTAAACCTTGCTTATAAACATTTCATGCCTATTTCTTTTTGCAATGAGCTGCAGATATGCAAAACATTATTATCATTCATCATGATGATCGTCAAGAATGCTGTTGTCAGGATTTTCACGAATCCACGAACAAATTCCATAAGCCAAGCCCCAAAAAATAAATGTACAATGCTGCTTGAAGCGAAGCTTTAGCATTTCAACAACTTGTTTCTTACCAATGCTTATGCATGCCCCGCACCCGTGCTTTCCACAGCAACAACAACAATACCAACAAAAGCTAGTCAGCCAGCCATTGAGTCTTAAGCCAGTTCGTCAGCGTGATTTGCTTTTTGGCTGCGCTGCACGCTGCTGTTGTTATTGTTCATTGTTGTTATTGCTGTTGCTTTTGGCTGCTGCTGCTATGTTGTTGTTTTTTCATTTCTGGCTCGTTTCATGTTGACCCACTTTTCGTGGCAATACGTGCGGCGCTGACGCTGTTACAGCACAGTGGGCCCCAGCTCAGGTGAAAGCTTTGTACTTTGGTGGAACTGCACATTGGCTTTAAAGCCAACAAATGATTTAGAAATATGGTAAAAGGGTTGGTTTGAATATAAGTATATGCGTATAAGATGGACAAATTTTGGACTTTGCTTGCCCACTTCCTCTGAAATTTTGAAAAATATTACAATTTCTGAGGCTGTCTAGCTACTTTAAACATAGATATCTATTTATTTCTGTGTTTAAAACGTATCATTTATTATTATTATCATTATTTGTGCAAGATAAAGTAATTAAAGAGAGTTCATTATCCCTCGGAAATATTGAAAATATATAATAATTGAAATTGAAAATATATATTCCGGAACATATTGTATATATTTCAATTTCTTTGTCATTTCATTTCGTTTAAAATATTTTCAATTTCATGCCAGTGTGCAGTTTGTGCCACTGTGCGCAGCTAAAAGTCATAAACTAAATTGCCAACAGGTTATAGTAGCTGTTGTTGTTGTTGCTGCTGTAGTTGATCGAGGCAGTAAAAAGGGCCATGACAGTGACACTTGAAGTTTGAGGTTAAATCGTCAATGTTGTGGCCGTTGTTGCTTTTCTGCTTCACCTTCTTCTTCTGTTTCTTGCTTGTGCTCTGCGCTGCCTCTTTTAATATTTTCGACATAAATATGTATGTACATACGTGTATGTACATATGTATATCGTGCGACAATTGTGCATTGTTGTTCGTTGTGTGCTGTTACTGTTGTATGTAAAACGAAAGACTGCAGCAAAAAACTTACTTAAATTGTTTTTTTTTCCAAGCAAATATTTGGGGATGCATAAAATAAAGCGTGACAGCGCAGCTCACCGCTCCTGATGCATTATACTCACCACCATTGCTTTTTACCACGCTTCCGACCACACTCCTTGTCCCATTCACTTGTTTAAAGCGGCGCACGCACAAAAATGCTCGCACATTTTTTTAGTTTAATAATTTTTTTTTTTTTTTATTTTTCTACTCGCACACACAAATACACACACATTTGAAAAGTGAAATTTCAAAGTAGAACAAGCAACCATAACAACAACAACAGTCACACTCGCACACAGTGTACAGCACGCAACTTGTTGAGGTTCCAATAAAAATGAGGTCGCTTGACTCTCGCCCCGCTCGCCCCTCTCTCAAGCTATTTGTGTGTGTGCATGTATGTTTGTGTGTGTGTTGTGTGTGTGTGTGTAAGTTGACCAGTCGCCGTCGTCGTAGACGTCGCCATGGGGCGCTAGATCACGCGCCAACTGCCAAAGTTGTTGTTGTTGTTGTTGTTGCTGTTGCTGCTGTTACTGTTGTTGTTGCTGCTCTTTATGCCTTTGGCTGCCTTCGAAAATGCATTGGAAATTAATTGCAGTCGCGTCCACACACATTTCCACTCCACTCCGCCACCATTAACTGTTCTTAACCTGTTTGTGCAGCACTGCGTTGGCCTTTTAAAAGCTGCACGTATCCACGAACTTGAAAAAATTCCACAAAAAAACAAAACAAATGCACAATTTGTTTGCTTCATCTTTGATTTACGTTATTTTCTTCATCTTTCGATTTTAATTAATGCGCCGTTCCATATTTTATAGGTCGGCTGCTGGGCAATCTTTTTTCAGTTGTGAAATATTTTAAGGAGACATGGTTACTGTTCTTTTCTTTTCAACATTGGGGCAAAACATACAATTACTCTGTAATCGTTTCTTGGGATTAAGAGATCTTATTAATAAAGGCCCTCAGAAGAAATAGCAATTTCTATGACAGCCGTAATAATGTTAATAAACAACTATTTATTTGAACAACATATGTAAATATAGAAATGTTCCGTACAAACACAAAGTATCCATGATCAGCCGAGAATTGCAATGAGATGTGATGCTTTGTATGCATTTTTAAAATATAAGACTGTCGGGCTGGATACAATTTTCGCGGTTCATAAGCTTATGAAGATACTTGATAAACTTTTAGAAGTTTCAATAAAGGAGTGTTTGCACCAACCTATGGGAAGAAACCAATTGCATCTGCAATTATGTTAGGCTTCCTAAAGCAACTACCTAAATAACTGAGGAGCATCAATAAAACTAGATTCCTTATATCATTGATTGTCGTATGAGGCGACAAATAAAAGTATCCAGGCTCTCCTTCTGTCTTTTGGAACCATTTTAAAGATACCTTAGTTGATAGATAGGAGGATGGAGCGATTTAAAGTAGTTCATACGAGTAATTGAACCTGAAATCGGTTTTTGATACACTACTTGTTAAAATATGTCAATATGTCAATGTCGAATGCATGCTAGCGGGAAATGCATTCCCGATTGGATAAGGAGCGATGCATTTCTAGCAGCTCTGCTGATCTTTGGACGCCAGCGCCCCTTTGGAAAACGCAACTGCACGCCGAAACCAATTCTTTAACAGCTACTTGGGTGTCAACTGCAGCTTGACAGTCGATTTTAATTTGAAACTTCTCAGCCCGTGGTACCGAAATTAAAGAACGAGTTTGATGGCCCATCCGACTTCAGCCCTTAAAGGCTCGCTAACGCAGTATATGTTAATTACAAACCATGAAATCTCGTTATTTTATATAGCTGCCATAGGAACGGTCGACAAAAAAATCATCAATCGGTATAGAAGTCAATTGAAGCACTAAAAATCTTTCTGTTCATTTTGGTATCATAATAAAATACTACAATCTATTATCAATTATTATTATGTAGATCGGTTGACAATATCAAATAGTTGCCATAGGAACAATCGATACAAAACCCAGTGTTAGTACGAAAAAATATTTTGTTTTTTAAAATTACATAAAAGTTTTCTTTAGCTTCTCAAGATAATGTAAAGTTTCGAACAGAATCTGTGTACAATATATGAAATGTTTTAGCATAAAGGTGGTTACAGGTTATTCAAGAATCGGACTTTAATCTTCTATTCCAGAACAAACAGTTTTAGATAAAAAGCTCCCCTATGCTATTAAATATTTGTAAGCCAACAGTATTGGTTACTAAACAGGTCCGAATTAAATGCAAGTTGAGCTTCCCACAAAGTGAGTGTTGGGCCTATGCTGTCTTTGAACATAGCCAAGAGCAGTAGCAGAAACAACAACAGCAACAGCAACCACAACAGCACTGAATAGACAAACAACAAGTATTTTTAACATGCACTTCGGGCAAGTTGTTGCTGCCACACGGTGAACAGCAACAGCAGCAGCAGCAACAACAACTAGTT